TTTATTCTATGGAATGAATGAAGGAAGGAAGGAAGGAAGGAAGGAAGGAAGGAAGGAAGGAAGGAAGGAAGGAAGGAAGGAGCAAGGGAGGGAGGGATTCTCCAAAGCACCTGAGGGTAGAAGAAGCAGCAATGGGTGGAAACTAATCAAGGAGAGAAACAACCTAAAACTAAGGAGAAATTTCCCGACAATCAGAATAATTAACCAGTAGAACAGAAGTTGCCTCCAGAAGTTGTGAATGCTCCAACACTGGAGGTTTTTAAGAAGAGATTGGACCACCATTGGTCTGGAATAATATAGGGCTTCCTGCCTAAGCAGGGGGTTGGACTAGAAGACCTCCAAGGTCCCTTCCGCCTCTGTTATTCTGCACTTCTGCAAACTGTTGAGTTTTCCACAAGGCCGAGGGGCAACTGAGGAGAAGGGCGCTTCACGTGATTTAACCTGTCACTCACCCTCTCCAGCGGATGCGAAGGCGCGATCGGCCATGTTAATGGGCCAAGTGTTTAATCAATGAAATTCAAATTAATACGGGAAGCGCGGCCTTTGATAAGGAGCTGTTTCTTGAAGATCTCGCCCCTAAGAAATGGGAACCTGGTTAAAACGTAATTGACTCCCGTTATCTATCATTACGGTGGCAAAAGGCGATGTCGTGTTTTATTATATAATAGAAGGTGAGCTACCGCTGATTAGAAGAGATTAAAATCAACAGAAAGCTGCACTGAGGTTACTCGATCCTATTAGAAATTGTTTAAAACGAGGCCGGAAAGAGGTCGGATCTCTTCTTGCGTTGAAGCCCTCTAAGAAGACAGGCCTTTGAGGTCGGGATCGAACGGGGTCTACAGCGGGGAGAGAAACGAGAGGAAAATTGGGCCCCGATGAGCCTGTGAGCCCCTTGATCGATTGGCGCCTTGAAGATGGACGCCCAGCCGCAGCTCGGGGGTGATGGACAGGCAGTCCTCGACTTACGATCAGGAAATGGATCTTGCCGCTTGTGGTTGTAACTCGGGAGCACCAAGGACCCCGCAGTTCTCCTCCCCTCCTCCTCTCCCCAAACCCTTGTCACTTCTAGCACTGATGATGTTCCCTAGTTGGGTCATGAAACATCTGCAAGAAAACCACCAAGATCAGAGGACACCAAGGAGCCCCCAGTCCTGTTCCTCCTCCTCCTCCTCCTCCTCCTCCTCCTCCT